CACCTTTCCACAGGCTGGAGAGATGCCTCACTTGCTGTTCTTCCAGTGGACCTGGGTTTGATTCCCAGAACCCAACTGGGAGGCTAACAACTGTGGGTTCCAAGGAGTTCCAACACCCTCTTCTGGCCTCTGTCGGGCATTACACACATGTGATGTGCCTATATACATGTAGGTAAAACACTCATAAACATAAAATAGAAATAATAAATAAATTTTTTAAAAGCCTTTCCAAAATGTAAAGTTTATAGACTCTAGCTATTGTTTCTCTCCCTCTCTCCTGCCTCCTTCCCTCCTTCCTTCCTCTCTCTGTCTTTGTCTCTATCTCTTTCTCTCTCTCTCTCTCTCTCTCTCTCTCTCATCTTAGGAAATTTTCCAAATTGTTATTCTTTGCTCTGTGATACAAAACCATGATGAATGAATCAGATCTTTTAAAGATGGTTTGAAGATTATACCTGTCAGGAAGGTTAGGGGTTTTCTCAGGCCCAGGAGCTATAGTTACAGATGATAAAAAATGTTCTTCCTGCCTGGATCACAATCTAGACATCAGAGAGTTGGGTATGGGACATAACCATTCAGACAGCCTTCAATTCCAACACCATTTTCCAAGTGAACTAATGGTTCTAATTTCAACTATAGGCATTAGGTGTATGAAGGTGGGGGAAATTTGTTTCCTGTATCCTTAGTCTGACATGCTTTGATGTCTTACCTGTCTAGTCTGCAGCTAACTGGGCCGTCCAGGTGATAGTCAGCACCCCTGGAGGGAGCAAGCACTGCATACACAAGACACCACAGCAAGTGCCTTCAGCTTTTTCCTTACCAGCAGCTGCCAGGTATGCTTGGGACCCAACCTAAGACATGGAAGTTCTCTGAGAACTTGGACCATATCTCAGTACTTTGTAACCAGGGTTAGATCAATGGGGAAAAAGACATACTGAAGGAGACTATCACATTTATTATGCACTTGTTGTGTTTTGTACTATGCTTTGTATTTAATATTACGTTTTAATTTTCTTAACAACTCAATGGCTTAGATTGTGTCTTCATCAGATGAAAGGGGACTTAAGAATAATATTTTAATAACTTGACCAAGTCTCATCTTCAGCATATAGCAGAACCAGAATTCCAGCCCAGACATAGTCTGGTTCTAACATGAATGTTTCTTTTCCATTCCCCAGATGATTTTGAAATGGTATAAAGTGAAATTCTACAAAAGTAAAATATTCAGTTGAGGATTCTCAATAGGTTAGACTCTAGGCAGGGACAGATACTATTTTTGAGACCATTCATTTTGCCTCATGAGAGATGGTAACAAAATGGAACAGAGACCCTGTTAATATTAGCAAGATAGGGATGATTAGCAAGATTAAGATGGAGGATACCTGTCCCACACTGTCTCCAAGGAAGTCACATCAACCAAGGCCAATAGTTTCTAACACTGCAATTCAGCACTATTGTGTGGTAGAGTCCTGAAGATCTGTGAATATACTGCCCAGCCAACCCCCAGTGCTGATGTAGACATCAGCCTTCTTTGAGCCCCACAGCAGAGCCCCTTCCTGGCTCAAGTAGAATGCCGCCAAGTACTGTGGCCACTTAGGTAATACAAATATGATTTTGTAACTGAAGTTTTGCTTTATTTCTCTTAACACAGAATCATGCTGCTTCCCACACCCATCTGTTTAGAACCAGATATGCCATATTTCATAGACCTCTATTTTTCTCAGCCTTTGGAAGGAGAGTCCTACGCTCACTCCCACATCCTGGTTGACTCTGTAAGTATCTCAGAGCATTGTGGGTGCTTGCTTCTCAACTGAATGCTGTTACAATGCTGCTTTTAGACTCTGGTGAGATGTTTCTTGAAAAATACAAATCTATCTGTTTAATTATGCAAACCACCTAATAGCTAGTACAAATTGCATATAACTGCACATCCCAGTGGTGGTCTGAAGTATTTTCTACATTATATTATTTAATCTTCACAGCATCCCTCTGAGGTGGGTGCTGCCATTATTTCACAGATGAGAGCACTGACTGAGGCACAGGCTCAAAGAGCTAGTGAGTGAGGAGATAGGGCTGAGGCCAACATAGCCTGAGCCACTGCTGGCATTACAGAAAGTCTAGGGGGAAATCCCCCACTTCCATTTCATCATTTTGTAAGTTCCCAATGTATATTTCCTATGCTTTTGCATCACTGTACTCAGTGTCCATGCAATCCCATAGTTGTAATCAATGTTCATGCAGTTGCACCGGTGGATTTATTTCACTCCACATTACATCATGAGCATGCCATCCAATTTCATATACTGTTATTTTACATATATATTAAAGCTTATAGAGTCAAATTTATGTCCCCAAATGTTTATCCACTGAAGTTTAGTCAACCTACGAAGAGTCTCATGGTTAATCAAGACTGACTGTCCCCCTCCTAGCAGCCATCAGTTGTCAATACTTCTTCAAGGTAGGGCTGGGGTTTCTAACCCACATCTATACTGGGATTTTGTCTGACGAGCTCATGTGGGACCTACATATGCTGTCACCGTTGCTGTGAGTTCATATGAGTAACTGACCAGCTATTCGGAAAACTATTTCCTTGTGGTCATCCACCACCTCTGGCTTGTACAATCTTTTCACCCCCTCTTCCACAATGATCCCTGAGCCTTGGGAGGCAGAAACTTGATATAGCTTGACACACATTTTAAAATGTGGTTCAGTATATTCCTACTTTACCAAAGGTTCATGACTTTTAAGCAATTTGTCAAATTCTTTCTTGGAAGGTATTTTCCACTCAGTTTTCAGGCTTATTGGTAATATGTGAAAGTCTCATTTTCACCCCACCATCAGTGGAATTGGAGAGAATTGCATGGTTTTTTTTAAAAGATATAGTAGATCAAATTCAAATTGCTTTGTTAAAATTGCACTTTTGAATATTTGTGAGAATACTTTAATTTCATGATTTAATTGTCATGCTGGCCCTAGGGATTTATTAATTATAATCATGACACATGAATTTATTCAAATCCATATCTGAAATATTTCTAAATTGTATACAATCCAAAGAATGTCATGTGTTATTATATAATAAATTTGTATGTTCAAATGATTTATTCTCTGAATGTGTATGACCCTGGCACTGTGCTAGTCCTGGGTATAAAATATAGTTCTTCTTCTCAAAGAGTTTTCAGTTTGAGGTGGAACTCTGTGACATCAAGGCCAGCCTAGACTACTGGTTTACATAGCAAGTTCCATGTCAGTTGGGGCTACAGGGAGACCAGGTCTCAAAATACAAACAAAAAAGGAGAGTTATCAGTTTAATACCAAATATAGACATATAAATCCTGTTATTACAAGGGTGTTTGTTAGGCTTATTAAGTGAATACTTTGAAGTCAATTTTGCAATATATCCATTTCATTAGTTTTAAAGCAATTGTTATCTTATATCCAGCTATATGGAAAACCCTGTCCCATGAATCAAAATTAAGAGGCCAGCCTGGTCTTGGCCAGCTGTCAAAAACCTCAGAAGAATCCCTGTATCTGTGTTCCAGGATGAGATAGGAACCCAAGTGCATGTGATTTATTGAAAGTATGTCCCCTAGAAAAGAGGAGTGAGGGAATGAGAGGACCGGGAAAGGAGTCAAGGCAAGGGCTCCACTGCAGAGAGGTTCAGTCCTACAAGGCACCCTGGAGCATGCCCTGCACCAGAGCTGAATCCACCTGGAAGCAAAGTGGTGATTCTAAATGTGCCATGTCATCGTCACCTCAGCCACTGCCCTCTGTGTACCTCAGGGAGTGCATATTTATCATCCATTTGACTGAATGCTATTTCCTAGAGAAGACATTGTTAGCCTTTAGAAGTTCATACCAGAGCAGCTGGAGGGCAGGTACACCACCCTGCAAGAAAAGAGGATCCAGGCTGGGCACCCACTTGTTCACTGTAGTCTTTAACCCAGAGTCCAGAGGGAGAAGGTCCTTGCACATCTCAGTATTGTACACTAATGAGCTTAATGCTGTGCTACCAACTTCACTGCTCTGGAAAGATAACTAGCCACACAAGACTGGGGTACCCCAAAGTCTGTGCTCTTTCTCAGCCAGATACCATTTGCATCTATAGCCAGGCACAGGCCAAGAAGACCAAGGGGATCTCTGCTCAGTGCTTGGTGCTTTAATTTCATTTCTGTTGCTATGATAAAACACTCTGACCAAAAAACAACTTAGGGGAAGAAAGGGCTTATTTCATCTTACAGGTTATAGTCCACCACTGAGGGAAGCTAGGGCAGGAACTTGAAGCAGAAACCATGGAGGAACACAGCTTGCTTGCTTGCTTTCAGGCTCATGCTGGTCCACCTTTCTTAAACAGCCCAGGACCACCTGCCTGGGGAATAGTGCAGCCCACAGTGAGCTGGACCTTCTTGCATCAGTTAACAAGATACTCCCTCACAGACATGCCACAGGTCAGTCTGATCTGGGAAATCCCTCAATTGAGAGCCCCTTCTCAGATAACTCTAGGTTATGTGAAGGACATTGCTGCTCTGCACAAATATCTTCCATTTGACAAACAGAGTAAGACAATTAAGATTTGTTTTCAATCACCCAGATTACGTGATATAAGCTTCATAAAATTGTGCTTGGTGTCAAAAGTATATCAGGTATTCTATAATATTTAACTGTCATTCTTCTTTTTAAACACTGGATCACAGTTGGCAAATGCAAAATCCCTAGATATTTACATGAGAAGTGAGTCATGCATTGCAGAATCCTAAACTGATGGAGGCTAGTATCATCTGGTCCATATGCTTGTTTCCAGGCCTGTCCTATTGGAAACTAGCTCAGACCCATTGCTGTCGATAATCATTGGTTGGCTGCCCTTGTCCCCAGTCCTGCCTCATCCAGCTGTCTTCTGCACCTCTTCCCACCTAATATGTGTTTGGAGAATGCACTCATTTTAGCGTCATTGTAAAAATACAATAGTAGAAATAGAAATATACTTTATGGAACAAAGTTTTATGAAGCATTTACTATAAATTAAATGCAGTGGTAGAGATAGCCCTAGGGCTCCCTCCCTGAAGGGAAGACTCAGACAACATGGGGTGTGTCTTAGTTACTTTTCCTGTTGCTGTGATAAAATGCCCTGACAAAAGCAATTTAAGAACAGAAAGATTAGCTGGGCTGGTGTGGTGGCACATGCCTTTGATCCCAGCACTTGGGAGGCAGAGGGTAGATGAGTTCAAGGTTAGCCTGGTCTACATAGGGAGTTCTAGGCCAGCTGGGGCTATAGGGAGACCCTGTCTCAAAAAGACAAAAAAAAAAAAAAAAGAGAAAAAAAAAAGAAAAAAAAAAAAAAAAAGAGAAAAAAAAAAAAAAAAAGAAGAAGAAGAAGAAGGAGGAGGAGGAGGAGGAGGAGGAGGAGGAGGAGGGAAGGGTTTATTTTGGCTCACAGTTCAAAGCTATAGTCCATCATAGTGGGGAAGGCCTGGTGTCAAGAGCTTGAAACAGCTGGTCACATTGCATTTGCAATCAGGAAGCAGAAAGTAGTGAATGCTTATGCTCAGTTCCCTTTTCCAAGTTGCAACCCAGGGAATGGTGCTACCCACAGTATGTGGATCCTCCCACCTCAATTAACATAATCAAGATAATCCCTCATAGGCATGTCCAGAGGCCCATTTTCCAGGTGATTCTAGAACTCATCAAATTGACAATTGAGATTAACCCTCACAGGGTATGTAGCCCTAGCAGTTGTAAGAGAGTACCAATCCAAAAACCTCAGTGTAAATTACACAGTGATTCTTGACCTCAGCTGATCCAACATTCCAGTGTTAAACACTTTCTGTTACTATACCAAAACACATGAAATAATCAGTTTTTTTAAGAAGAAAGTTTTGGTCTCACAATTTGGAAGCGATCAGTCCATGGTTAGTCTCTGATGAACAATGCTACTCACCTTATGGCCATGATAGAGAAGAGAGGACTAGGATCCCAACTCTCTTCTTTGGGGTACATGTCCCTAATGACCAAAAGGCCTCCCCCTAGGCTCCACCTCTTGAAGTTGCCACCACCAATAGTACTGCAGAGAATAAGACTTCAACATATAAGCCTTTAGGGGACACTCAAGATCCAGACTATAGCACTCCCATTTTTACTACACATGTTTACTAACAGTTTTTGAAATGAAATGCATAGTCACTGTAGCCTTGCTGCACACTTAACTTCCAGATGAAGTAATATAATGTGCTGATATTACTACAATAGAAAAAATTTTTAAAACACAGTAAAGAAATGTGTGTAAGCAGAGACATGAGTGTACCAAAGACATAATGAAGTAGAAAGATGCCCCATGTACACAGAAACACAAAATATCAGCCGTGAAAGTAGGTATATCATAAACATGTCAATGTGCCTAAAAATTACAGACTTAGTCTCTCAAGTCAGATAGTATATTCAAGGTTTTCTCCTTCATGTGCTGTAAGTGGAACACTCAAAAGCTGTAAGACATTGAGATCATTTTCCACTTTATGAGGACGTCTAGTACTTTTGATCCCCTTCCACTAAATGCAGTTACACACACAGCCAAGCACAGTGCTAAACTAAACCATTCTGATGAACCTCCAAAATGTTCTCCATGGTGTCCTGTCTCCCATACTGAGAGGAGGCTCTAGGCTGAGAGGATGGGGAGTCAGGTACAAATGAAGAGAGGTTTAGGTTTTATCTACATGCAGTGCGTTATCTGAACAAACTACATTGGAAAGGACCATTGTGACTGTTTCTTCACACTGTATATAGAAAGCTGGCAGATGACAAGAATGGAAGCTGGGGCATCTATTGGGTAGAGGGGCAGGAGAGTGGAGAGCTAGGTACATTTAAGGAGAGGAATTGAACAAGGATATGGCCAAGGTGGGAGAAATAACTTACCAACAGGTGTTAAGGATGACCTTTGCTTTTTTCCATCCGAGCTCAGCAGATGGTGGCATTATTTAGCGAGAATAAGCACAGAAAGGAAAGCAGGTTTGAGTGTGCTTGGGTTCTATTGCTTGTGGGACGACCAGTAGGAAATTAGGTCAGTGCAGGTCTGTAGCCATCCACCAACACATGCATAAGAGACATAAATTCAAATGCCAGCTACTTAAACAGGGCAGCCCCGTATTGCCAGAGGCACCTAGGAAGTGAATGTGGAATAAAAAGAGGCTGATGGGAGAACTCTGAATAATCCCTACACATAGGAATGAAAAAGAGAGATAGTGTATTGGTGAGGGGCAGCAGGTGGCAAGAAAAATTTCTACGAAATTTGGCTCTCCAGGTGTCAAGGCTGCATAGAGATGGGGGTGGGTGATGGCAGGAGAAATCATGAGATCAGAAGGTGGTTTAGTAGATGAGAGAGTTGTAAACATGTAAAAGTCAGCCAAGAAGAGGCAAGAAAGCAGGAACCACAGCAGTTTCCTGGTGGTGGAGGTGGTGGTAGGACCATCTTCCACTGCAGACCTCTCCCTTTGTAAGCTCCAAAAGTCAGGAAGGTGGTGACACCCATGGGCCTGAGTTTGGGAGGCAGGAAGTAAGTAAGAGGCTCCAGTTCCTTTGCTGATCTATCTTCTCTTTGAAGTAAGAGGAATGAGAGGCCACAACATCTGCAGAGAGTACAGGGAAAGTGATGGGTTGAGGAGCTGGTGACTCTGATGCATCTCACAGGAGTGAGATCCTAGTGTGGGAGTACCAAGGAACAATTAGGAAAAGGCTGGAAGGGGTAGGGGTGAAAGGCCATGGCAACTGGCTTCAGTATGGACAGAGCAAAGAAAAGGCCAGGAGCGTTTGTCTGTGCTACCAGCTCCGGACTCCCAACCTGACCCACTGAATGAAAGCCTGTTCTCTTTTCTTTCAAATTTTAATTTATTATATGTGTTACATAAGGTCATTTTCTTTTTAACTTAGTTTTTTATTCTCTTACAATTTTATGTGTATATACTAAATTTTTGGTTGTTTTTATCCCCCTTACTCTCTCTTATCTCCTTCTCTTTCCTGTTGAAGTCTTTCTTCCCAACAAGTCCCCTTCTATTTCGATGCTTTAAAAGGTGCACTAAATTTAATTATGGGTTTTGGTATGAACATTAGCCAGGAGTTATATACTAGAACATGGGAAACTTACCAGTGGCTACACAACTGAAGAAAATGGTACCCCTTCTCCAGTACCTATTAACTGCTCCAAAGTCCCTCAGGGAGGGACAGAGCATCATATATGATGAAATTTCATGGGCCCAATCTTATACAGATGTTATGCAAGTAACCACAGCAGCAGTGCTTTCGTGGGAGCAGCGGCTGTGTATATTAGTCAGGGTTCTCTAAAGAAACAAAACCGGGGGCTGGAGAGTTGGCTCAGCAGTTTAGAGCACTGACTGCTCTTGCAGAGGACCCAGGTTCAATTCCCAGCACCCACATGGCAGCTATGAACCGTCCTTGACTCCAGTTCCAGGGGAATCCAAAGCCCTCTTCAGACCTCTGAGGTACTGCACAACATGGGTGTACTTACATATATACAGGTAATACACTCATACACATAAAATAAAAATTAAAATTAAAAAAAAGAAATAAAACTGATAGAATTAATATATATTATGATTTTATCAGATTAGCTCACAGGATAGAGTCCAAGTAGTTCAACAATTGCTGCCCCACACTGAAGAGGCTGAGAATCTGGTAGTCACTCAGTCCACAAGGCTGAATGTCTCAGTAGTCCCAATCTAGTGCTGAAGGTCTGATGAATTCCAAAAATCGGCTAGTCTTCAGTGTACTGCAGCAAGACGAACTCACCAGCTAGAGAGAAGACAAGCGGCAAAAAGCAAGCGCTCTCCTCTGCCATGGCCTTTTATATGGGCTGCCATCAGAACGTAAGACCCACATTTAGGGTGTGTCTTCCAGCTTCAAATGATCCTATCAAGAAGACCTCTCTCATTTCAGTTAATCCCGATCTGGTCAAATTGACACCCAGGATTAGCCATCACACTGTGTCATGCACAAGAGACAATACATACTCCTTCTCCCATTCCCCAGTGCCTTCCCTTTATCACCCCCTTATTTTTCCCCTTTGCTCCCCCAAATAGTTTGGCTTCTACTTTATGTTGTCTGTATATATGCTTTTATGTAGCTATATAAAATCTAAGACCCACAAATAACAGAAAATAGGCATTATTTGTCTTTCTCAGACTGACTTAATTCACTTAATATTATTTCCAATTGAATCCATTATTCTGTAAACAAAATGACTTCATTCGTTTTTATGAGTGAAAATTTTTCATCATGGTTTCTTTATCCAGTCCTCCCTTGATGGACACTCAGGTTGGTTTAGCTACTGTGAGTAGTACTGCAGTAAACACTGATGTGCAATATCTTGGTGCTGTTGACTTGGAGTTCTTTGGGTAAATCCAGGAGTGATATTGTTGTATCATATGGGAGTTCTGTTTTTAGTTTTTTGAGGAAGCTCCATGCTGATTCCCTTATGGCTGGACTAGTTTCCAGTCTCACCAGCAATGTAGAAGGGCTCCCTTTTGACTACATCCTAACAGCATTTGCTGGTCTTTGATTTCTTAATGACCCCTCCATTCTGACAGGGATGAGATAGAATCTCAATATAGTTTTCATTTGCATTTCTCTGATGGCTAGTGAGCACAAACCTATTTCCAAGGTTGTTTTACCACCATGTGTTCAAAATGACCAACTCAATGCAGCCAATATTCTTTATCAAAACAGTCTCTTCTATATCATCCAAATTTAAACAGTATTAGGCCATAACTTAAACTGTCCTTAAAAGTTAAACTGAATCCCCCTTCCTCACATAGATATTAAAGAGTAGATAATTTCCCTTTGAAAAAAAGCTTATGATGATGATGTCTTTTGTTCATGTAATAGCTGGATGTGAGCAATTCCCAGAATGCATCTGTGAGATGTTGGTTTTTATAGTGTCAATGGGTATTATTTGGATGTCAGACCAAACGCTTAAATAACTGGAAACAGAGAGCTTAAAAAGTATCTGTTGGGCCAGCAAGGTGGCTCATCAGGTAAGGGCACTTGCAGTCAAACCTAACTACCCTAGTTTGATCCCCAGGTAACATGTGGTGAAAGGAACAAAATGATTCCAGGAAACTATCTTCTGACTTCCACACACGTCCTGTGGCACATACCCACACACATCCAAAATAAATATTTTTAATTTTTTTCTTCATATGAGTGTTTTGCCTGCATGTATATAAGCATACCACGTGCATGAAGTATTTGTGGAGGCCAGAAGAGAACATCAGAGCCCCTGGAACTGGAGTTACAGACAATTGTGAGCTGCCATGTGGGTGCTGGGAACTAAACCCAGGTCCTCTGGAAGAACAGCCAGTGCTCTTAACTGCTGAGCCCCATAAATAAGTATTTTTAGAAGTATCTTTCTTACAGTATTCTCAGAGACGTTAGCATTCATTTTGTCTGTGACTCTTCAAGATGCCAGCATAATTTGGTGTAGAACACCCCTGTTCACATGAAATTGAAAAAACTTAGAGGAAAATCTTACAGGGTTAGAGTTCTACTGCACCACTGTGAAAAACACTTATCTGAGCCATGATTTCTTTCATGGTTTACCACAAATAGCCTAGTAAAAAAAAAAAACTTTCATATCTGAGCTAGGCATGGTAATACACCTGTAACTGCAGCACTCGGGAGACTGAGACAGGAGGATCACAAATTCAAGCCAGCCTAGGCTCCACAGAAAGGCCCTTTCTCAAAGAACCAAAAAAATAAAACAAAGCAAAAGGCTTTCAAATCTAAGACAAACTTATTAAGTTAAAAATATGACAATAAAAAGATAAGGACTTTTATTTTCTTTGCCAGAAGTCAATAAATGTAAACACCTAAAGATTGAGTAAATAACTGAAGATCACAAAATCAGAAAGTCCCAGTAACTTGAAGGACTGGGTTAAGTGTCCTTTAGAGCCGTTATTCTGATTTTTATGCAGTAGACTTAGACAGCAGAGACCTTGAACATGCATCTTCTTTTCTCACTATTTCAAAGCTTGGCCTCATCCCCCACACCAATTCACTGGAGGATTTCTGTGGCGAGCAGGATATGGGAGTGTATCAGCTACAAAACTGTGTTGAAATTGCCTCGGGAGTGGGACCTCAAGTGCTCCCAGGTCCGTGTGAAAGACTCTTGGTTAGCATGTCTGCCCAGCTGCATGATGGGGCAGTAGGTGAGTATCCATCTGCTGAGGCACTTCTGAGGGCTTACAGATGCTTTTTGGACTGGGAACTAATTGATTTATTTTAGTACGTACTCAAAACAGCAATATACCCATCAGCTGGTGCTTAGATGTCCAAGGCAGTCTGCTGATGCAGTAGAATTATACCATTCAGTGTGGTTAAGTATAGGGAGAGTAACTTCATTGCAGCATTGGAGAGCAATGGTCCTAAAGGGGCCTTTGAAATCCTAGAATATTAGGACTAGATGGAACTCCAACCAAGGTGCTTCTCCTTTTCCTTTTTCTTTTTCTTTTTTTTTGGTCTTTTTGAGACAGGGTCTCCCTGTAGCCCAAGCTGGCCTGGAACTCACAGAGATCCACCTGTCTCTGCCTCCCAGTGCTGGGATTAAAGGCAAAGGTGTACACCACCACACCCAGCTCAAGGTACTTCTCTTAATGCAAGATGGTGTGAGGGTCCAAAAACATAACACAATCCCCATTCACTTAGCTATAGCAAAGGGTTTCTCAAACAGAACTGCTATATGGAAAAAGGGGGACTTCCCTGTGCATAGTAGGATGTTTAGCCTCCTCCTTCCCCAAATTGTGACATCTAAAAACATATCAAACTTTGTCAAATGTCCCCCAAGGAGCAAAATCAGCACACATTTGAGAACTGATGATGTTGACTGACAGTCACTCAGAAGAGCCTACTCTTCCTGGTTCCCAGGAAATCCTTTGTCCTTTAGGACAGGGATTGCTTTAAATGCATTATGCCCACTGTCTCATAAAATATGTGGAATAGAGAAAATAAAAAACTGTTTTCTATATGTGTTAGTTTTTATCACTTCAATCACCTGAAAGAAATAACTTGGAAAGCAGGAAGACTTGTGGTTTCAGTCCATAGTTTGGCTGACTCCATTTTTTCTGGACTGGGATGAAACAGACCATAATAGCAGAAGGACAAGGTGGAGCAGAGCTACTTACTTGTGGTGTTCAGGAAACAGAGAGAGAGAGAGAGAGAGAGACAGGAAGAGGTATATTTTTCCAAGGTACCTCAGTATTTATTTCCACCAACCAAGCCCACCTCCCCAAGCTGCCAACAAATTATAAATTCATCAATGGGTTTATCCCATTGATGAAGGCAGAGCCCTTATAATTCCATCACTTCTCAGAAAGCCTACCTTTTAACAATATTGAAAGGGAAACCAAGGCTTCAGCACATGAGCCTCTGTGGGACACTTCAAAACTAAAACACTGTTGCATGCTCCTTCCCTAGTACACATCAGGAACTGGAATTACAGTGACTGATGGCAACAGTGACATTCCGATAATCAGTTATTTAAAGCAACTTTCTTGAAGCCTTTCATTAACTTGTTCAATAAAGCTTAATGAGCACTTACCACATGTCAAACACTGTTCTAAGTACTATGCAGGCAGTATCGCCTTTGAGTAGTGTCCTAGTTTGATTCTCCACTGCTGTGACAAAACACTCTGACCAATACTAGAGTGTATTGGTCTACTCTGGGGAGGAAAGAGTGTGTTCAGCTTACATCTCCCGGGTCACAGTTCCATCAGGTAGGAACTCAGGGCAGGTACCTGGAGGCAGGAGCTGGAGCACAGACCATGGAGGAATGCTGCTTACTAGTTTGCTCCTCTGGCCCCTGCTCAACCTGGTTTCTTATGCAACACAGGTCCACCTGCCCAGGGTGGCACCACCCACAGTGGGCTGGGCCCTTGCACACCACTCAGTAATCAAGAAGATGCCCCACAGATATGGCCACAGACCAGTCCAATGGAGGCAATGCACCAATTGAGGCTCCCTCAACCCAGGTGTGTCAAGTTGACACTAAAGCTATCCAGCACAATCCTGCAACAGTCCATGAGAAAAGCCTGAAGTCTCTCCATCTAACAATTGAGGCAGAGGACAGGGATCCCAATAGATGGAGACATGAACTAGGCTACTAAGGGACCAGGCATTCTCTGCCCCTCCCTCACCTCTGCTCCTTCCCTTTGTTCCCTGCAGCCTGCAGATGTCACCCTGAGGGTGCAGTTGAGTCCAGCTGCAGCCGACTTGGAGGCCAGTGCCAATGTAAACCTCATGTGACAGGGCGCTGCTGTGACAGGTGCTCAGCTGGGAGCTTTGGTTTTGGGCCTCACGGCTGTCATGGTATGTAACAAGAATCACAATAAGAAACTCATTTATTCATAATGTTGGTGTTTTGAAGGCAGGCAAAGGGAGGTTTTAAAGGAGAGGACATTGGGAATGTGACTTTGTGTAGATAAACTATCCTGAAATGTTTTCTACCATACTTCATCCACTGATCAATGGGCACTGACGGTGCAGAGCTCTGTTTGGAAACATAAGGAATGAACAAAAGGTAGTTTATGCTTCTGGGAGTTTGAGGTGTGGAGTAAGTGGAACGCAGTTCAGGTAAAAGTGGGAACACCAAGAAGGGAGTTGATTGTACACTCCAGTTTTATGACCTGACCTGTAAACCCAGGGTCTGGACAGGCTCACACAAACTTGAGTTGGGAGGTCAAGAAAGGGACAACACTGTCACTACAGATAAGACCTCCCCAACTGAGGATATTACTTTTTCTGATGTCGGGGGTCCCAAATAGCCTTGCAACTCACTTTAGAAGCCTCTCATTAATAAGGCCTTCCACAGAGCTCTAACTGTAGTTGGTAATTCCGTTCTTATGGTTGTCATGTTCAGGGTACGTAGGTAGTTCTTCATCCACAACAGAAGCATTAGCAAGAACATTGCTCCCTATAGGTACCTTCTGGTCAGCCAATTTCTTTCAAGTAGAAGACTGTCTCTTTTCAGTCCTGATCCACAGACATGGCCCCTTCCCTGTCAGTGCTTGGGCCCGGCTGCCTATTGAGCAAACAGTACTTAACCAGGTCATTATTGCTTTTCTTCTTCCTCTTCTTTTGTTTAAGTGACAACACAAAGGGATCAACTCAGGGGAGTAAATACCCACTCTATCAGGCAGCAATCACATTTTTGTACAAGGAACATGAGCTCTGGGGATTTGGCAATGAAATAGAAGAGGATTGACCCTTTCTACCTCATCTAAGATAAAAGGAAAATCTGGCCACTCTGGGAAAGGTTCTTACATTTTTTTACTACCTCCAAGTTATGCTTTGACCCATCACACAGAGAAGTTTGAGACATTGAAAGTGTGCTGTTTGCTCAGTTTCTTTGCACAAACAACAAATGTGCTTAAGGCCCAGTTGTTTGTAACCTGCTATTTATTGAATGAATCGGTGAATTGTTAGTTAACAGACTTTTGCCTGGCACTCATTAATGTGCCAAGCATTGTGCTAAGCATACTTTATTTTATTATTTTTATTTTTTATGTGTATGAGTGTACTGCCTGCATGTATGTGAGTACACCCCTGTTGTGCAATGCCGCGGGAGTCAGAAGTGGGCGTTGAATTCCCCTCGAACTGGAGTTAAGGACGGTTCGTAGCCGCCATGCAGGTGCTGGGAATCGAACCCGGGTCTTCTGCAAGAGCAGTCAGTGCTCTTAACTGCTGAGCCATCTCTCCAGCCGTTTTTTTTCTAATTTTTTTTTATTTTATTTTATCTGTATGCTTGTATTGCCTGCATGTAGATAAGTGCACCTGTGTCCAGCAATACCCATGGAGGTCAGAAGACACTGTAGGGTCCCCTGGGACTGGAGTTACAAACACTTGTTAGCTGCTATGTGGGTGCTGGAATTCAAAGCCAGGTCTTCTGCAAGAGTAACCAGTATTCTTAACCTCTGAGCCATCTCTCCAGCCACGCTAAGCACACTTTAAACCCACTTTATTCACCTGGGTCAGGACAGGGAATACAAAATTCGAGCTGGAACTTTCCATCTCCATGCCACTTGCCACTGTTCCAGCGTAATTCTCTTTGCTTTACCCAGCATGTCACTGCCATCCTCAAGGCTCCAAGAACACAGTGTGTGATCAGATAAGTGGCCAGTGTTCCTGTCACGGAGATGTGGCTGGCCGCCGTTGTGATCAGTGCCTGGCGGGCTACTTCGGATTTCCCAGATGCCGCCCTTGCCCTTGCAATGGGTTTACTGAACTTTGCGATCCCGACACAGGGTCCTGCATCAATTGTGGAGGCTTTACAACCGGAAGAAACTGTGAGAGGTATGAAAATCATATCTCTTTAATTTTGAGATCGTTAAACTTTTGTTCTGATTTCACAATGGAGGACCATGAGTGAAAACTTAGCAGTTCTTAACTGTAAAATGGCAGCTATGGGGAAGGATATTGTCCCATCCAATCCTTCAAATCATTCTGTGAGTCCGAAAAAATCTGATTAAATCAGTAACACGTTTGCCTGGCCCTTTACATTTGTATTTGCCAAATGTGACCTGTAATTCACAAAGGATTATTAGGTTAAGTTTAATGTATACATCTTGAGACTGCCAATATACAAAAATTCCTTTACAGAGCAATTATCTTCTAAACTACTGAGTTTTAAGAGTTTCATTGTCTTAAAGCATACAAATCCATACTAGCCAACAGGAGAGCTTTTCCTGGGAACATTTCAGTAAAACAGTTATTTCTTTGACAGGTGCATTGATGGTTACTATGGAAATCCTTCTTTAGGACAATCCTGTCGTCCTTGCCTGTGTCCAGATGTCCCCTCAAGTAATCAGTATTTTGCCCACTTCTGTCAGCAGAATCCTTGGAGCTCAGATATAACCTGCAATTGTATTCAAGGTTATGCAGGTATGAATTTCCCTTTTTCTTTTCTTTCATCCCACAATGCAATTTGGAAATGATCACGTGTTTGATTTGTCTGCCTTGGATTAATAAGTAGTATAGAATCTAAGTTAATGTAAGAAGGCACAATTTGCTAAATTGATGCTTTACTGAGCAGAGACTTTGAATCACTGAAAAACCAATGACACTTAAGAACTTATCCCATTGAAATAGAATTGCCTTAAAATAAAGTTTTAGAAAACTAACTGGCCAAATGAGATCAAGTCAGATTAAACTATTTAAAATACCTCATCACATGTTAAGTAAGATATATGAGTAAGTGATATACATTATATATGTATTTACTATGTAAAAAATAAAATTCTAATCAGCCAAATGCTTTCATTGTATAATTCCAAATACTTTGACTGATATTCCACAGATAAAACTAAGTTTTGATATCCTTAAACACTGACTTGGGCATTATACAGATACCACAAAAGTCTTAATTCAAAAATATGTATCTATAGCTGGGTGTGGTGGCACATGCCTTTAATTCCAGCACTTGGAAGGCAGAGGCAGGAGATCTCTGTGAATTCAAGGCCAACCTGGTCTACATAGTGAGTTCCAGGCCAGCTGGGGCCACAGGGAGACCCTGTCTCAAAAAGACCGAAAAAAAAAAATGTATCTGTTAGTCAAAAATTTAGAGAACTTGGGGCTAGACAGATGGCTCATTGGTCAAGAACACTGACTGCTCTTGCAGAGAGGACCCAGGTTTTGTTCTCAGCATCCACATGGCAGCTAACAACTGTTCATAACTTCAGTTCCAGGGTATCCAATGCCCTCTTCTGACCTCCACAGGCACTGCATGACACGGGTGCATCTACATACATGTAGGCAATACACTCATACACATAAAATAATAATGAAATATTTTTAAAAATTAGAGAGCTTGCCGGGTATGGTGGCACACGCCTTTAATCTCAACACTCAGGAGGCAGAGGCAGGTGGATCTCTGTGAGTTCAAGATCAGCCTGGTCTACATAGTGAGTTCTAGGCTAGCTGGAGCTACAGGGAGACCCTGTCTCAAAGAAAAAAAAAAAAAGAAAACAAGAAAAAAAATTAGAGCGCTTAAGCATGGGTATGAAAATAGAATGTAAGAAAGGAAAAAAAATGACAAAGTCTACCTGATCTAATCACAGTATTGTTTTCTTCAGTAGTAATTGCAAATTACTTCTTCATTGTAACAACAAATATGACTAGTTTTCTTGGTTGTTAACGTCTGAGATTTCACATGGCTTTAGTTAATTCTGTGCTCTTCCCTCTTCTCTAAGTACAGTTTGGCTTGGTTGGTCGGTTTTTAAGAACTGAGACCATTAGAGGCTAAGAACACTTCCAAGTAGATTAACCAAATGTGGAAAATAGTTTGGGCCCCCAACAACTACAGTTACCTTAAGGTTGGGAGGTGAAGACTATTGGAGAGAACTGGTATCTCCACAGGGTGCTCAATAGAAACACTGCAGGGGCTCACACTGCCCTTGTCCTTCTTCACTTTGGAGACCCTCTCAGGCTGCCTGGCACTTCCCCTCAAGACTGCCTCATTTTCACCATAGTTCACCTCTACAATTGGTAGAAGTTAGATTCCCCCAGGGAGAGAAGGGCCTGAGATCAGATTTGGGTCCTCAGACCCAGCAGAATAACTCTAGTAATATAAAGATCTAAAACTCATTTGCCCCCAACTCCTTAGTTTTGGAAGAGAAACCAGAATCTATTCTTGAAAGAAGACTTTTTAGCTCCGAATAGCCTTTCCATTTGCTGAATGAATAATAAATAAATGTGTGATATGTTATACCCAGCAGAGCCAAGTAATCCTCTGTTTACAGCTTCAGTCCACATGCCAGTACCCACCCTTCCTCCCATTCCCTTTTCTGTTCCTTCTCTCAGGTGTTCAGTGTGGAGAATGTGCTCCTGGTTTCTATGGTAACCCAAGAGTTTTGGGAGCACTCTGCCAGCCCTGTGCCTGCAACAACAACATAGATGTAACAGACATGGAATCCTGCAACCAGGTGACAGGGGAGTGCCTCAAATGTCTGCACAACACACAGGGCCCACACTGCCAGCTCTGCAAACCAGGTCACTTTGGATCTGCCCTCAATCAGACCTGCAGAAGTAAGTCTGCAAAGCTCCCAGAGGGTTCATGCAGTAGCTGGGTGCAGCTTATAAATGTAATATCAACGTTTCCAGGCTCCTTTCATTTAGGCCAGTCCTTACAAACAAAAGCAGCATCCGCTGGGACAAGGTTGTTGCACTGAACTTGTCAGCAGAAAAAGGCACAGTGCATAGAATTCTCATTCACAGCTGCAAAGTGCTCACTGATGTCTTCTGTGACTGTTTCCTTTACCACTCAAGTCAGTGGCTCCAAAGAATTGCTGAGGGGTTAATATGTGTATTCCTGGGTTGCATTATGGGGCGGTCAAGGCATTCAGCCTGCTCAGATACTGCAGTAATCCTATACAGTAAGAAGTCTCTTCTTTGCATCCCCGAGAAAAAGCATTTCCCATGGTTTGTTACTGACTCAACTTCTAATAGCAACTTTATTATCCCAGGATGCTCCTGCCATCCTTCCGGAGTGAGTCCCACTGCATGTCTCCTTGATGGGGGTGCCTGCCTCTGCGATCCTATCACCGGAGCATGCCCTTGTCTGCCACACGTCACAGGCCTGGCCTGTGACCATTGCGCTGATGGATACTGGAATCTGGTCCCTGACAGAGGGTGTGAGTCATGCAACTGTGACCCCAAGACCTCTCAAAGCAGCATCTGTGACCAGGCAAGGCACTTTAAAATTTTCTAGTGCACTTGGGATAAGAATGGATAGTGAAGCATAGTTTCCGGATGTGCAAACAATATTTTCTTTACGTGCTGTTATAAATTAGTGGTTCTAGACCTGACTGGCTTTAAAACAGAGATAGAATTGATATTTATTTCCCAGGAATGAAAAGACACAAGAATAGAGAATGAGAGTCTCCAGGTTAAGTTTGCCTACCTCAGTTTTCTTTAGACCTCTCTGATTGAGAAGCCAGACTCCACGCACAGTGAAACCCAGACACCAACCACTCCTTCACTATTTCATCCACATAATCACAAGCATGACCCAAGTAATAATCATTCATCAAAAGTTATTATTAATCAGAATGAAAGCAAATAGATGCTTTCAGATGCACAATTCCATTTAAAAATATTTATTTTCAATTATGCATATGTGTATGTGTCTGTGTACATAAGTACAAGTGTCCATGGAGGCCAGAGGCATTGGATTCCCCTGGATCTGGAGTTAGAGGCAGTTGAGAACTGCCCAACATGAGTGCTGGGAACCAAACCCAAATGTACTGAAAGAGCAGTATACCCACTCTTAACCACTCAGCCATCTCTCCAGGCCTCAGAATTCCATTTTTACATGGAGCTGTCATTCCCTGTGGTGAACTAGGATGCCTTTTTTACTCCAGACCAGCACTGATGGTTTCTAAAAAGTATAGGCTAGGAAGCAAGTCACTGTACAGTTAGCATTACCTGGCCGCACCTGTAATATTTAGTCAGTCAGACAAGGAGCATAGAAAAAAATTTAAATACTATAACATCCATTTGTGGAAAACTATTTATTACTGCCATGTTTCCCCCCCACACACACGCACACACTTTTTTGTCTCAATGAATCTAGACAAAACAACAATAAAAGTGTTCAGGACAGTCAAACCTATGATGTAGGGATATAGGTTTGCTGGAATCAAAATTCTAATTTAAAAAACTGGAATTTTAAACCCTGCCTGGAATCCCAGCACTCAGGAAGATGAGGCAGGAGGAGTTGGAGGCTAGCCTAGGCTATATAGTGAGACATGGTCTCTAAAACAAACAATAACATTTCTGGTGTCTTTCTGATTAGTAAATATGATTTGTCTCTAACTTCAGCTCCACTGTTCAACTTATTATTCAAAGGTCAAATCTTACATAAGTAAACTTTTTCAGAAAGTATTTCCCTATGTAGCCCAGGCTGGCCTGTATGTAATCCTGCTCCCTCAGCCTCTTGAATTCTAGGGTTGCAGGAATGTGCCACCGTGTTCAGCTGAAGATAATTCTAATATAGAATGTATCTGCCTTTCTCTTTCTTTTTATCCAGTCCTTTCTAACCAACCCACACAAATACACCATAACCCTTTTCAAAAATACAGACTATAATTACATTTAAATTAAAATTTTTTTTTAATTTTATGTGTATGCGTGTATTGCCTGCATGTAGGTAAGCGCACCAGTGTCATACAATGCCCAAGGAGGTCAGAAGAGGCTGTTGGATCCCCTGGGACTGGAGTTACAGACAGTTGTTAACTGCCATGTGGGTGCTGGGATTCGAACTTGAGTCTTCTGCAAGATCAACAAGTGTTCTTTACCACTGAGGTATCTCTCCAGCCCTTAATCACATTTAAATTTTTAAAGATTTTTAAAAATATGTTATTTATTATTTTTATTTTATGTGTGTGTGTGTGTGTGTGTGTGTGTGTGTTTTCCTCACATAGGTAGGCAGCATCAACACATTCTTGCTTTTCTACCTGCTATCCTCACAGGGTTAATAGCCACGAGAGATTCTCTTTAGTATAATATTGCAAGACTGTATTTCTTTATTTCTACGGGAATTTATTTTGAAGTGAGAATTTCATACGTTTTCATTTTATTTGATGAGTATTTTTAAAGATTTTTTTAAAAAATATTTTATTTATTATTTTTATTATATGTATATGAGTGTATTGCCTCTATGTATATAAGTGCATCTGTAGCCTGTGTCCTACAATGTCCATGGAGGTCAGGAAAGGGTGTCAGATCCCCTGGAACTGGAGTTAAGGATGGTTGTTAGCTGCCATATGGGGGCTTGGAACCAAACCCAGGTATTCTGCAAGAGCAGCCAGTGCTCTTAACCTCTGAGCCATCTCTCCAGCCCCTACATTTAATTTTTTTTGAATTTCCTTATTTTATGTGTGTGAGTGTTTTGACTGTATGAGTGTCTGATCCCCTAGAACTAGAGTTATGGATGATTGTTAGGCATCATGTGAGCTGGGACTCAAACCCTGGTCCCATATCTCCAGGCCCTATTTTTTTTTTGAGACTTTCATTCATGAGTACTGTATTTATATCATTTCTACCCCTCCCATTCCTCCCTACAATTCACCCCACACTTCCCCTACACCTTTCAATATTCTGATCTTTTCTCTAATTATTATTGTTACACATATATATGCGTGGGGTATATATAAATAACTTACAGAGTCCATTAGTGGGGCAAGTATGTACATGTACACAAACTTCTTATGATAGAAAACATCTGTGAGATTATGAAGATAGTGCAAAGAAAATGTGCATCACACCTACTTTCCCCATTATTGGCATCTTATGTTAGTTGATATATTTGTCATAATTAATGACCCAATAGTGACATATTATCATTAAATTTCATAGTTTATTACAACTTCCCTGGTTTTCACTAAGTATCCTGTTTCGTGCTGAGACCCCATCCATAACTCTTTATAATAAATCATCATGTGTCCTTAGACTCCTCATGGCTGTGACAGTTTCTCAAACTTTCCTCAATTTTCATAAATTTCACAGTTTTTAGAATGTTTTGTAGACAGTTCCTCCCATCAAAGTTAATGTTTTTCCCACTAGACTGGGGTTCCAGGATGCGAGATGACCAGGGACCTCCTTCTCATCACATTCTATTAATATGACTTATCACTGACAATGTGAATCTTGCTCACCTTGCAGAAGTAGTGTTTGTCAGGTCTCTATACTGTACAGTTACTCTTTTCTTCCTTCCATCTTATACTCTTGGAAAGGAAGTCACTGTGCACACCCCACTTAAGGAGTAAAGCGTTATATCAACCTGCTTGAAGGCAGAGGATCTCCATGAAGCACTGGAATTCCGCATTGGAAATGTATCTGTTGTTCCTCATTTATTCAGTCATTTTATTTATAATACTACAGATGCATGGGTTCCTATACTACGCTAATAATGGCCCAACTCATTTTGTTGTTCCAGTTGTTCCAGCTTTGGCCACGGGAAGCTCTTTCAGTTAACGCCTATGCTCCCTTCATACTTGAATATTGTAGAATTCTTCAAGGCATTTCCTCACTTTCTGGCAGTGTAAAATGTTCTGGGCTCATCTTAAACGTTTCCTGCCCTAGTCCTAGAATCAGTCATGTCGCTAATGAATGTTGGTTCCTATATAGGAGAATAGTGTTAGAAATCAAGATGTCAGTACTAGATGACCACACCCATCTAATGTGTTCCCTTTTACTCTCCATACCGGAATAAACTGCTAGGGCGCCTCATGAATGCTTGGCTTCTCACTCATGTCGGACTTCTAACATTCATAATATCATTGTCTGGCATGTTTCTCAGACCTCTAGGGAAGCATATTTGTAGCAGCACTCAAAACATAGTTCAGCCATGAAGGCCAAGGGCAGTTTATGACCTTGAAGATCAGATAGCATTGAATGAACTAAAAACCCTCACACAAGGGTTCTTTGGATTGTTTGGTTCGTGGAGGAATCCCTTGAGGAAGGTTGCTTTCTACAATCAGGAAACACTTTCATTGGAGTACAGAAAAGACATATGGGCAATTAGATTCCCAGCTGTTTAAATATCTACAGATAAATATCTCTGTGTCAGCCAGGAGGTGGTCTCTAGCGCATTCCCACAGAGAGATCCAACCATGCTATCCAATATTTTGATCAGCAGTTTACACGGACTTGGAGAAACAAGTTTCTCAAATTTGCAGATGCTGCAAAGCTGTAAATATGATAAAGACAGAACTTGAAGTCAGATAGCCTAACACGCACTCATTCAGGCTAGAAACAAGAAGCAATGTTAACAGGGTAAAAATAAAGTTGTGCAATTAGGTTTTTGAAATCTCTTGCATGAGGGTGGGAATAATTACTTGGCACTACTTCACGAGGAAAATATCTGAGGACTTTCAAGTAAGCCAACAGTGTCCAGGACTACCAGAGAAGTGCTGCCTGTTTGGACTGGAGTAGGGGGCATGCCACACTCAGATTCAGTACTGTAATTGTCGGCTCTACTGTCCACACAATGCCAGGATCCTTACTGTCATCTCAGAACACCATATCTTTTCCACCATGTTTTTAAAGTTTGGATTAAGTTTTCATATACATAGTTATGGGGTACAATAGAACATTGTGATACATATGTAATGACCAAAATCAGGGTAATTAGCATATGCATACATCAGTTATCTCTTCTTTGAGTCGAAAGTATTCAAAACCCTCTGTTCTAAGCTGGTCATGGCACATGGCTTTAATCCTAACACGTGAGAGGCAGAGGCAGGTGGGTCTACCTAGGGAGTTCTAGGTCAGCCAGGACTGCATAGTAAGACCATGTCTCAAATAAACAAACAAAAAAACATATCTCTTCCAGCTACTTTTAAATAAAAAATGACTCTTAGCTGTGGTCACCTTAATGTGTTCTAGAATATTCTAGAACTTATTCCTCCTATCCTGCTGTACTTGAAAACGCTACCCTTTCCTTCCTCCACCTGCCCAGGAAGCACTATTTCACTCTCTGCCTCTATGAGATCCACACATTTAACTTCCACATATGAATGAGAACACGCAAGATTTGTCTTTCTTCTAAGTACCACATTGTCAACATATAGTAAACTTTTTAAAGCATGTGTTCAAAAGAAGACAACTGGAATAATGGCTAGAACCATGCTATTGTGTACCGAGGGTCTGAGGGAATTAGAGGGGATCAGCCCACAGCATGGAAGTGAAGGTGAGCTCATATGTATGCCGTTGGGAAAGGCAGACTTGCCTGTTTTGTGCAACTTCACAAGACAGGTCTCAGGCCAATGGGAACCAGGTACAAGGAGGCAGATGGTGCATGAGGCTAGGAAAGCACTGCCCAGCAATTACAAATAGTCATTATTATGTCACGCCTCAGCAACAAGCTTCGATAATTCCCTCTACTAGAGCAGGAGCTAGTGGGAACTCCAAAGATGAGTTGAAGGTTGGCAGACCAGGTCACTTTATGAGCATAGCTATTTATTCACTGGTAATATAGTTATAGAGTTGATGTTTAAGTATATTTGGTCAAATTACAATAGTGATTTGCTTTTGCATTTTCTCCCATTATTTTCCAACCTTCTCAGTTTTCAGAAAAGCAAGAATCCAAATGAGAAGGTACAGGAAAATTCAACCATCTCTTGAAAACATAACTATCACTAAGTGATTAATTATAAAGTCCAAAAATATGTCACTTTATAGAACAGAACACTAGCACAGTTGGAAAAGCTATGTCATGTATTCCGTAATGGAAAGATTACTTGGTGAACGTTAGACCATGTCTTTGGCCTCTCTCCTTCTATCAATTATGGAGGAACTCCCATAACTGTAGAGTTACAAGAATGTGGTCTGTTTCTCAATCTGTGTTTTGTTTTCATTTACATCTGTGCATGTTTCCTAGTCTGGGGCCACCTGTCCCTGAACAGCTGGAAGCAGGCGGTATGTTCAAGAACTCTAAGCCAAAACACATTAACTTGTGATTCTTGATACTGCCGGGAGTGGCTGCTGACTGTGGGAATCATCCTTTTTTAACATTTGCACAGCTGTATGTTCTAAATCACTGGAGGAAAAATGTTTCCTATGAAAAATGCATTATGTCTTTAGACCATAAAACTTGTCGATTCCTCACCCACAATTGTTCTCACAGGTTACGGGCCAGTGTCAGTGCAAACCAGGCCATAGTGGAATACACTGCAATGAGTGTGAGGAAAATTATTACAGTGATCCATCTGGGCAATGTGCTCGTAAGTACTGGAATGCTAAAAACACAAGTGTGGTCGGTTAGACCTACCATGAGTGTGTGCAGACCAAATGGGTTTCAAATTCCTTTATTTCATTGGTTTTCAGCAATGTGAACCTAGAAAATGCACACCGTTTCATCTTTGTTTTGAAAAGAGTATTTTTATAATCCTATAAAGATTGATTTTTCTATATTAAAACAGTTAACCTATGTTAAGTGTTAGTCCAGATTCAAACTTATAGCCTTTATTAAAATCTCTGAGTCATTATAAGGGAACAGGCCTCTGGAGTCATCTGAGATTTACAGCCAGATTTCTATTGGAAAGCTGTTGAAGAAAAGCAACCACTCTGAACTGAAACAGACTGAGAGAGATGTAACAGGAAGCCAGAGATGTGTCTTCAACATGGTTCCCATGACTCTGGGTCTATCACATAGTCATTTATTTATTGACAGATATTCACAGAATGCCTGTTGCGTACTGTAATAGAATTCTATAGCAAGATCCTCCAAGAATTTGTGGTCCAGTGCTTTTCATCCCATGTGTAAGCCCCAATTGTAGGATTAGGGCAGCCTTTTCCAATTCAACTTTCTACAGTGAGGGAAATGTTCAATATGTATGCTATGCAATGTATGAGCCATTAGTCACAAGTAACTATCAAGCACTTCAAGTGTGGGTACTCAGGTGAGGAGTGAAGTGATGTATTTCTGAATTTTATTTATTTAAACTTTAATAGTCACATATGGGGCCAGTGGGGTGCCTCAGTGGGCAAAGGAAACTGCCACCAACCCTGACAACCTGAGTTTGATCCCCAGAACCTACATAGTGGAAGGAAAGAACCAACTCCCTGCAAGGTGTCCTCTGACTTCTTTCTATACATGCACCATGGCATGGTGTATTTCTGCATACACACACATACATACATACATATATACATAAATGAGAAAAAACAGTCACATGGTTAGTAGGCATCATATTGGACAACATCATATTGGAATCTGTTCTAGAAGAATTTCTTTAAGTATTTTATTTATTATTCTTATTTTATGTGTATGTGTGTATTGCCTGCATGTAGGTAAGTGCGCCCATGTCATGCAGTGCCCTCAGAGGACAGAAGAGACTGTTGGATCCCCTAGAACAGGAATTACAAACAGTTGTTAGCTGCCATATGGGTGCTGGGATTCGAACTCAGGTCTTCTGCAAGAACAATCCGAGTTCTTAACCACTGAGCCATCTCTCCAGCCCAGCAGACAGAATTTTTACATTTCCACTTAAAGTCAGCTTCCAAAGAAAGTCAATGGGGTCAAATATGAAATTGTAAATCATGACCATCCCTACATTGTCTCATGTGGAAAACCTTCCCCGTTCCTGTGCAAATGTGTTCCTGCAGCTGAAAATATCATGATCATTCCCTTGACCCATTCAACTATGTGCCCTTAATTTTTTTCTCCAGGTCACACTTAACCCGGTCTTCTATAAGAAATTTCCATTTTAAAACCAGGGATGAGGGGCCAGTGAGATAGCTCAGTGGGTAAATGTGCTTCCAGTCAACCCTGACAACCTAAGTTCAATCCCTTGAGCCCACATGGTGGAAGGAGAGAACCAACTCCCACAAATTGTCCTCTGACCTCCATATACACACTGTGGTATGTGCGCGCACACACACACACACACATATACAAGAAAAAAAACCTATAAAAATTATTTTTAAAACAACCAAGGAGGAGGATTGAGGATGGTAGAGCACTTGCCTAGCGTTTCAAAGACCTGGTTTGGATCCTCATCACCGAAAGTAAAAATTTTTTAATTTTTATTTTTTTTTAAAAAAAGAGGAATTTAGGGAAGGAGTTGGGGTGAATATGATCAAAATAAATTATATGAAATGTTCAAAGAATTAACAAAATACTTTTAGAAGGAAGTATTTGGGCTCTTAAAAAATCAGATCTGTCTTAGCATCTTTCCATGTGTCCCTCTAACATTTTAATAGTTTTATTTCATAAAAATACTTCACCTTCATAGTGAAACAATAGGGGAAACTTTACAAATGCCCAGCTTGGAACACAGACCCCATAAGATACTGAGGAAAGAGTATCTTCTAAGCAGAACAAGACCCCCAGCTGGGGAGTGGCATAATGATGCTCCAAAGCTTCCTGTTGAGGCCTGTGAGCCAATCTGAATGTTCCATGACATTCATTCAAGCCTTGTGTGTGACTCAATTTTTATTATAATTAGCATTATTAAGACTATAATTCTGTCCTTCTTCATTGGCAGTATTTATACTCAAGCTACCCAATACCTTTTAAACTTTCTTCACTAAATCCAAAAACATAGGCTAGTGACTCCTAACCTTTTAGAAATTTCATTAACAGTAACATCTTCAGTCTCAGTCAGAAACCTGTTCAAATAAAGTGCTGTGTGGCATCAGCTATTTTCTTTTATTAAGACAAAATGCACTGAACTTCTCCTCTCTCCCATTTTTTAAAGAATAAACTAATCTTACATAATGAAAGACAGGCAGGGTCAGCACCCTGGGTCTTCTAAGAAGCAGTGTCAACGTGGGATTGCTTAGTTGTGTCATATCTGAAGCAGCCTGGGAGGTGACGGCTATAGTCACTAGTGTGCTGTCTGCCATTAAATCCACGTGTCACTCAAATAGATGAAGACTCCATATGTACACTCACAATAAAAATTTCTTTTAATCTTTTCCATATAGAAACCATGAACTGATTTGCTGATGGGGCACACTGTATTTTAATAGCTATTGCACAGATCCCTGAAAACATATTGTCTTTAAATTGTCACCTTAAACGTGAGTTGGGGAGACTTCCAGGAGAGAGGAGAGGGCTTGACTCCTGCGCTATGCATGAACAGACTGAGTCACATTCTCTGCTCTTTCTCTTCCTTTTCAGCATGTAATTGCAACAAGGAAGGGACCCAGAAGCCTCTCTGTGACCCAGACACTGGCATGTGCCACTGTCGGGAGGGTGTCAGCGGCCAACAGTGTGACCGCTGCGCCCGGGGTCATGGCCAGGGATTCCCCGCTTGTCTTCGATGTCACTTATGCTTTGATCAATGGGACCCCACCGTTTCTTCCCTCTCCAAAGCAGTGCAAGGGTTAATTGAGCTGGTTACTAACATGGAAGATAAAAGAGAGACCCTGCCTGACTGTGAGGTGGACTTCAAAGTCCTCAGAGCGAACATGTCTACCATAGAGAAGATTTTGAAACATCCTGCTTTATCATCTGGGGAATTGTTGAAAGCCAAAGATTATTATGAGTCTGTGAGGTAAGATTTATGCTCAAAGAATATATAACTCCTGGTTGACCTTTGATTCCTACTGCGTTTTTACATCCTTGGCCTTCAGCTTAAAAATGTACTTACATTGGCTTTAGAGAAGTCATCATTGTTCATCTAATAACCAGGCTTTTGTGCATGTGTATGTAGTGTGCAAGTGTGTGTGGATGTTTGCATGTGTGTGGGTACATATGTATGAGGGTACACATGCACATGTGTACATTTATGTGGAAGCCGGATTGACATCAGGTGTCTTCCTCAGTCCTTTTCCATTTTACATATGGAGGCAGGGTCTCTTGCTGAACCTGGACCTTGCCCATTGGCCAGTCTATCTAGCAAGCTTATCCCAGGAATCTCCTTCCTAGGATTACAGGTGGGCTACTACACACACCTGGCTTCTTTATGTGCCAAGGATCCAAATTCTTATCCTCATGTGTGTATGACAAGAATTTTTTTCTGCTGAACCATCTCCCTCCCCCATAACCAGACTTTCAATAATGTTTGTTGACTCTTCTTGCCTGCTTAGGATTATTTTTTTTTCAGATGCCATTAGTTGTAGCAAAAAGACAATGGTTAAAAAGTTAATTGCAGAAACTGGAAGTAACTCAATGGGAGAGTGCTTGCCTAGCACACATGAGGCCATGGTTTGATTCTCAATACTTTTAAAACAATAAAAGTAAAATAAAAGTTTCCTTGAGAAACCCAAACCAAGGAAAGCTGAATGTCATGGAAACAGTCTGCAACCATTGCCCTCAGAACGCACACCTTACCTAAGGCACGTGAAATTAGACATATCATAGTTTCTAGTACAAATAATGTGCTTTCAATGAAGCACTCAAAGAATATTGGCCAAATCTTCTTCCGAGTCTTCATTTTTAGAAGTCATACATTATACATGTTATATTGTAGCAAACAGGGCCATTCTTACAGAATACAATATCATTTTTATTATGCAGTACCAAATCATTTTTTCCATTCATCAATCATTTCTCAAGATTATGTTGGTTGCACTGGGCCAGGGGTCAGCCAACTAAACCACAGGTCCAATCCAGCACAGCTCTTGTTCTTGTGGATGAAGTTGCACTAATTACAACCACGCCCACAACCATGCCATGTTGACAGCTCCCTGGGGCTGTTCTCCCTCTGCAGTAGCAGAGTTTTGTAGTGATAACAGATACCTGGAATCCTGAGGCAAACCTTGCCAACCTGCTCCAAGCAAAACCCAGAATGACTTGGGTGTGTTTTTTCCCTCATAGAAGCAGAGTCTACCAAGATTCCCCCAAAATGAGGTTCTATGGAAAAATATCTCTCCTCTTCAAATAGAAGTTCTGGAATTAAGGATCTTTACCCAAACATCATCAATAGGAATATATGCCATAAATATATAGTAATTGCTTTTAAAAAGTTATATGAGGGCAGGGCTAGAGAGATGACTCAGTAAAGAGCACTGGCTGCTCTTGCAGAGGATCCAGATTCAGTTCTCAGCACCCACATGGTGGCTAGCAATAGTCCTTCACTCCTGTTCCAGGAGATCCAACGCCCTCTTCTGACCTCTACAGGTATTGCAGGACAGAGGTGCATTTACCTACATGCAGGCCAAACACATACCAAAAATATAAATAACTAATAAGTAAATAAATAAATCATTTTAAGTTATACGAGAGAGAAGACACAGCCTACCTGTATATTTCAGAGAAAGGGCCACCACATTATCAACACAGGGCTCAGTGAGATCATGTGAAAAGTGGTCATGTAAAAAGAACAAGTACCCACTTGTTCTACCCACTCAATAACTTTTACTCTGCATGACTTGGTTCCTGTGTAATCAGATCTCCCCACTTCTTAACAGATACTAGACATTTAGATTTTCATGGACATAGCCTTGTTGAAAAGTACAGGAGCAACTCAAATAGCACTTGAGGTTTTTGTTTTGTTTGTTTTTGTCTTTTTGAGATAGGGTCTCCCTATAACCCCAGCTGGCCTGGAACTCGCTATGTAGACCAGGCTGGCCTCAAATTCACAGAGATCCTCCAGCCTCTGACTCTCAAGTGCTGGAATGAAAGGCGTGCACCACCACACCATGCTCCAATAGCACTTGTAAATCATACTGTGTGGCCCAAGGTAAACATACCTAAGGGAGAGCTTTAGGCTGTAGACCCCTGCTCTGTGGTTATAGATACTAAGAAAATATCAATGTGGCACCAAGAAAGAATGAGCTATAATGACATCCTGAACACAGAGAACTGCAGGAGCTCTGAGCAGAGCTAGAGAGGGCAGCATGGAGAAAGGCATCATGGGGTCAGACAGGGGATGAGCAAACGATGGCTGCTGAGCCCCACCAACCAGATACCAAGATGCCTGTCCCCTGGGCCCCCTGCTGAGGCCCTGGTGCTGTCTGGTGGCCAGCCAAACACCACCTCCCCTCTGCAGCTTCCCCTCATCTTCTCAGAGACAGAGTTCTGTCTTCTCTTCCCTCTTCCCTCCTCTTTGTGCTCCTTCTCCATGGCCTCAGTGGGAGATTCTCCAGAGCTTTTCCCATGTGTTCCTTTCCCAGGCCAGCTGTAGTTACACAACAAATATATGCTAGACAAACTGTCAAAGGAGATTGGGAAGACAGGGAAAGGAGGGCACCCTGAGCATAAATGTACAAGTCCAAGTGCCCTGGTTCAAGTCTGCTCACTAGCTGTGTGACTTTAGACAAGTGCCCTGGCTTTGGAAGCTGCATTTTCTTCATCAAAAAGAAGAATACCTCTACTTCATAAGGTTCTTGGGAGGATTGCACAAGCCTTAGCCTTAGCATGGTGCCTGGCACACAGTAAGTGCTTAAGAAATACCAGTTGTTGCAACAATAGCTGTTTGTAGCTGTTGTTATTCTTAGCTTGAAGAATTATAGCCCTGACAGTTGGGGCCTGAAAGAAAAGTCTGTAGACGAGAAAAGTCTAGGGAGCATTAGTTAATTCTTGTGTGGCTTCAGCTGCATCCTTTAAGATTTGCATGAAGTTGTCCCAATCAAGAAGGGCATGTTCACTATCCACTTGAACCAAAGGATCATGCTGAACCCAACAAACCAAAGTGGGGCAAAAAGGCATGCCCCATCAAAGAGGAAGGTGATCTAAAACAAATACCCAGCATCTGCTCAGCAGTAAGGAAATCTCTTTGCCAATTGTGGAAATTTAAAGTTAATACCATACAGCAGTAAGTCTAAGGACTTTGTTGAAGGTAGATTTATTCTAAATGAAGAACTTCTTTTAGCCTAGGCTGAGTAGGGTGTTGTTTTCTGTCATGTGTTGAAAGCCAAATGTAGACAAGCTCTTGAAGAATAATTTAAATGAACCATGTCTGAATACATGTTTTGAGATGGAAGATGAAGAGAGGGCATAAACAGCTGAAATTGAAAGATAGAAAAAATTTTATCCTATTAGACTATATATGCTGGTCATAGCTTAAATGAGTGTTGGAATATTCCAGGAAGTCAAATTAAGAGGAAAGAGGTGAGCCATTAACAGAATTAAAAACACAGATGAAAAATACAGTCTTCTCATTGAGGACACCTAATAAAGATCATTTTGTGGCATTTTTTTCCATCAATATATCAAATATAACACAAGCTTTAACTACATTTACACTCACTTTCTCCTTTAGGAAACAAATCATGCAGTTAAGTGAACAATTAAAAACAGTACACGAGTTTCAAGATCTGAGAGAAATCACAGCAAGATTAAGGAATGAAACAGACATCTTGCTTGAAAATCTTCAGGAGGAAATCAATATGCAGTCCAGAGCCCTTAATGCAAGCATCATGGGTAAGAGCAAAAATATGCTTTGACTGTTTCTGCAAGAAGTTGGATGAACTCTATAATGCATTCCATTAGTGAGTCACCCCAGGCTTACCACGATAAAGCCCGAGCACTTCACAACATGCAAACACACCCATTGAAGGTATTATTTGTACGTGGATAACTCAGCTTTTTAAACATTTCAGAGCCTGAATAGCATTTTCCCCAAATAACAAATAAAAGTAACAGTGACTAATACTAACAGATACTAAAACATAAAATAATGGAATGCTAAACCCTGTAAGGAATAATTAGTAACTTGGGAATTCTAATGGGCTAGGAAGATAGCTCAGCAGTAGAGAGCTTGGCTAGCATGTACAAGTCCCTGGGTTCAATTCCCAGCATTGCAAAATAAAATCAAGAAAAATTCTAATGTGTCCATAAGCAAATGAAAGAGATGAGTTTCCACACTTTTCTGGGTATGAGCCACTCTGTTTCCAGCAGCCAGTTCCAGAACCCACAAATGTAAAGGAATATGAGACAAAAGGAAGCCAAGCTACACATGACATTCCTCATATGAACGTTGTTGGAACTGGAGTCATACAGCATTCTGGAAGCCATTATTCATATTGCGTGGTTGTTAAAACTGAGTATGGGGCATGACAAGGCTAGTGTGGAGGAGAAACGGAGCTCAGTAAAACGGATTCGCTCACCTCCTCTTGAAGATGATAGCTGTTACTACCAAGAGAGATGGTATCGAGTGTATTCATGCCTACCCCCATCTAACTGAGCGGTAAAGGGAAAATACACACAAGACATAAATAATGGCTGGTTTGCCTTGCTGTGTGCCTGTTTTTCAAAGAGAGGGGGGGAAATGTAAGTAGCAGTTAGGAAGCCTGATTTCCCTAAAGGAATACCTAAGTTTAGAGAAATAAATTGTCAAAGATCTATTAATTATGCTCAATAAAAGTCATCAAAAGAATAAGGGATTTACTCTGGTTGCTAATATGCAGTAAGATACCCAGTGTACCAGCTCAAGATCCATTGGAGGTCACCCAAGCCGAGCAAAATAAAGTAACACTGCCCCCATATTAGTCCTCACAAATTAGTGGTGCATTGGCTGTTCCTAAGGTTTTTTGAGATGCCTGACACCACTGGGCAGTAGAGCCTAGGTGATAAATACAGCTAGCAGCTGTCCTTTGATTATTCCCAGACCAGAGTTGGAACACCAGCCACTACTGCTTTGGAAGCACAGAAACAAGAAGTGGATTCTTCCTGGCTTTGTTAGGAAAGGCTTCAAGAAAGAGACTGCAATGCAAGAGGGCCTTATAGGATGGAGATAAATCTTCAGATAAATAAAATCGTAAATAATCTCAAGCAAACAGAACATGTTTTTAAAATTTTTGTTTTCCTGATCAATGAAAAGCATTGTATGTTTGGTTATTATATATAATTGGAGATTGGCAGTGTAAAAACCAGAAAGATTTAAAGGATAAGACATGTTATCTCACATTTGGATTATGGTTATACAGAGAGCAAAACTCAGGACCTCAGGACCCTGGCTAGGCCTCGTAGTTCCTAAGTTATGGAGTTATAGTTTAAAAGACTAATGAATCTGTGTTTTATTATAGATGTGGCGCAAACGTGCTTAAGAACACAGGCTCCAGAGTCAGACTGCCTGAGGTCTGCCTGGCTTCAGCTCTTACTGTCACTAAGATCACAAGCAAATAGCACCTCCTCAGAATCTCAGCTTTCTTACTTGTGAAATGAGGGTAACTGTGCTAGTGTGCACTTCACAGTGTTTCTGAAGAGTGAGGAAGAAAGTTGAAGGGCAGTATAGGCATTCGGGAATCACTGAGCTGGCCTGAGATACTGTCATAGCCCTCAACATCAGTGTTCTACAAACTGCAGAAATCCTGCCCAGACACTGTTTTTGCAAATAACATTTCATTGCAATATAGCCTTACATATTGCTGCCTTCATTCTAGAATGACAGTTGAATGACTGTTGCAGAAACACTATGCCCAGAAGAGCCTAAAACATTCATTCTTTGTCCTCTACAAAAATAATTTGTCACCATGCATGGTGGCACATGCCTTTAATCCTAGTATTCAGAAGGCAGAGGCAAGCAGATCTCTATGGGATCAAGGCCAACCTAGGCTACATAGTGAGTTCCAGGCCAGCTGGGGCCATAGGGAGACCCTGTCTCAAAAAACAAAAACAAAATAAATACAACCCTCAAATAATTTTTCAACTTCTGTTCTATATAGTTAAGTGAACTTAGCTGGGTTATCACTGAGAAATTGCATAGTACTTATACTTAGCACCTTCTATCTGTAGCACATTTCATACACTATTTTCATATTATCTCAATCCTCACAAATTTTCATTACCAATTTACATCATGTAGGACAAAATCTAAGAGATTACCCAGTCTACTCGAAAATATACCTATGCCTAGAGAGTAGAGCCAGAATAATTCAACCCTGTGGACTGTAATGTTGAATCGTTGAATCTATACATCCATATCTATCAAACCGCATCTAATCCTCCCTAACTACACCAAAATTCAAGGAAGTACATCTGAAATATTTTTTTTCAGTAAAAGTTAAGTCCAAGACAAGGGCCACATTGTGGAATGATTATCCTGATAAATGTATTTATTTGTTTTTCACAAAATTTATCTTATGTCAATTTGTATAGATGCCTCAGAAAACATCAAGAAATTTTACAACATATCAACAACTGCTGAAATGAAAACTAATGAAAGTAGCTCCATCGTAAATAACTCTGAAAATACCAGGATCAGCTCACTTACTGTTTTAGAGACACTGACCTCAAAAGAAAACTTGTTGGAAAAATTAAAGCAGATTAAGATACCAGATATCCAAGTATTGAATGAAAAGGTAAATATTCATTCTCCTACAGAAAAAGTTTGTGGTTTCTACTTGGTATGCAGATGTACTCAATTGCATTGCCCTATTATAGTTTTTATTTTTATTTTCTAAATTTATATTTATAGACACTCCCTGGTGGTCTAGTAGTTAGGATTAATTTATATCTATAGATATGTATGTATATAGAACACAAAAAATAGCTAATATATCTTCTGATGTGTAATATATAAATAACATAAATATGGTTAGTTATGTGTTATTTCTTCAAGGATTCATGACTAAGAATAAGGACTATTGCTTGATTTTATTACTGTATATTATTTACTGTTTCCAAAATGTCCCAGCAAATGGACATTTGTTCCTCTTGCCTCACTTTAAGTAAACAATATATATTTTTAAAAATCAAAAATTGAATTAACAAGGAAAACCTAAAATTTGATTATTTTCTAAAAGAACACACGAAGATAAAAATGATAGATTGGGGGCTAGAGAGATGGCTCAGGGGTTAAGAACAGTGGTTATTCTCCAAAAGCTATCAAAATACCTGAAAGCAAATCCTGAATCTATCACTCTAGAGTCCAGCCTTGGAAGACAAAAGAAAAATGAGGAGGAACCCAATAGAGGAGGGATGCTTTTGGAAGCCCTTGTCAAGAAATTCCAATGGACTCTCATATGAACCTTTGAAAATTGCCCTGGTCTAACTTTTTTTTAGCTTTCTGGCTCGAACTTGTAATGC